TATACGAACGTTATACCGTCCTACCAATACCAATAACAGGCCAAGCATCCATCTATGAAATGGGATCATAAACGGGTGAAAATAAAGAATGAGAACAAAGGAATTCCCGTCACCTTTCGGAAGGTGTGAACGTGCAGTCACGCAACGGGGATTAGGCTGTTAAATCCGTTTTGGCGGTTGCCAGAAATCGAAGAAAGGGGCAATGTAGGGACGTTCATGCGCAGCGTAGAGCTGGGCATTGACGATCATGAGTGCGGCCACCGGAAACGAAAATTCAGGCGCAAGAACCGTCGCGGTGCATTGGGTGCATCCATAAAAAGGATTGGCCAATGTCTGCTTTTCGGCGGGCTTCTTCTTCGGGGTTGATTCGCTTCGTTTCGGGCAACACTGATGACAGCCTTTTTCACGCACGCTCGATGCGGCCACCCCCACCGCTGGCAAAAGCGATAAGAACAGGACATAGAAGGCGAGTAGTAGACTGGCTAATTTCATCGAGTCGCGTTGGGCCGCAGCCCAAAGATACACAATTTTTGGCAGTCAGATAACACCAAGCTTTTTGAACTTATTTAAACTGATTCCAGATAAAGGACGTATTTTTGCCTTAAAACGAATTTCATTTTAGTTATGGGGCAATCCAGGACTCAACGTCTTTTCATTGTTTTAGTTGCATACTGTCTTTTGCTGACTCAGTTTTCGGTAGCGGCCAGTCCTGATAAGAAGATTCAAACGGTAGTCAATCTGCTGGATTACATCGCTAGGGACTATGCCGGGGCGGTGGAGAATAAGAAAGTTGTCAACGCGACCGAATACGCGGAAATGACCGATTTCGGGACATCCGTCTATTCGCTGAGTCGTGAAATCGCGTTTAAGCAGACGAACGACAAAAAGCCGATACTCGATCAGATTCGCCAGCTACAGCAGCTTATCGCTGCCAAAGCCGATTTGTCAGCCGTGGATTCGCTAGCCAAAAAAGTGCGATCTGAACTCATAACCGCCACGGGTTTTAATGTTCTACCCGTCCAATATCCCAATCTAGTAGCGGGTAAGTCACTATTCAAAACCTATTGCGTAGCCTGTCACGGTGAACGAGGCGATGGAAACGGCCCAGCGGCCAAAGGGCTTTCCCCCGCGCCAACCAATTTTCTGGATACTGGCTCCATGCGAGCGGTTTCGCCCCTGGCCGCCTTCAACACACTAAGCATTGGCCTACAAGGCACCGCCATGCGCAGTTTTTCGGAAGAGCTAAACGAAAAGCAACTGTGGGATCTGGCCTTCTATGTGAAGGCACTGCCCGCCAGCCAGGCGGGCATGGATAGCATCCAGGCACAGCAGATTTTGACCATGATGGACAAATCGGTGCCCCTGGAAACGATTGCCGCCAGCTCGGATGATGACTTACTTCGCCTATTGAGCGGTACTCCCGCCCAGCGCCAGGAGAAATTGGCGGCCCTTCGGATGCAGGTCCCACCCAGTGGGCCGAATACCTATATTGAACGCACCAAAAATAGCCTCCGCGACGCACTAGCCGCTTACGAACAGGGAAACACCACCGAAGCGCGGCAACTAACGCTGACCGCTTACCTGGAGGGGATAGAACCCATTGAAGCCCAGTTGAAAGCGACCAACCCTAAACTGACCGCTTCCATAGAAGAACAAATGCTGCTGATCCGCAAACTGATTGAATCCGGGGCCAGCCCGCAACAGGTACGTCAACAGATTGCGAAAGCATCTATCCTGGCCGACGAGGCCAGGAGCGTTTTAGGTGAGCAGAAGTTTTCGTTCTGGTTTTCGTTTCTGCTGACGGTTTCCATCCTTTTGCGGGAAGGGATCGAGGCTTTTTTGATTGTGGCTTTGTTGCTGGCGATTGTGCGCAAAACAAATTCAGTCAAAGCGCAGGTCTGGATACATGGGGGATGGATAACGGCGATAGCGGCTGGCTTCGCAGGCTGGCTGGTATCCGGCTGGATACTAGCGATCAGCGGGGCGAACCGTGAAATCATGGAGGGTTTTGTATCGCTGCTGGCCGTTATTATTCTGGTCTATGTGGGTTTGTGGCTGCACTCGCATGCCAATGGCCAGAAATGGAAAGAATTTGTCGAAATCCGTTTGTCGAAACTGGTCAATAGCGAGAGCCTGTTCGGATTAAGCTTTTTTGTTTTCATGGTTGTTTTCCGGGAAGCGTTCGAGTGCATTCTTTTCCTTCAGGCGATAAAATTGCAGACCCTGACGAGCGCAGAAAATGCCATTGGCTGGGCCACTGTGGCCTCTTTTTTCATCATCGCCGGGTTGGTGGCCTTCGTGCTGAAATTCTCCAAACGCCTACCCATACCCCAGCTTTTTAGCTTCTTTGCCTGGATCATTGCCTTTCTGGCTGTACTATTGATCGGCAAAGGGGTTCATTCTTTGCAAGAAGCGGGCTTTGTCTCGGTTTCCGCTGTGCCGTTGGCAATACGGGTAGACCTGCTGGGCCTCTATCCAACGCTTCAAACCATCGGTTCGCAACTTCTCCTTGCGCTCCTTTTTATGGCAGTGCCATCCTGGAAAAAGAAAGCTCCGCAAAAGCAGCGCATCCCTGAAAAACAAGCGGCTGATTGACCGTTCAGCCAGCCTGATGCTGTTCAACCATACGGAAAAAAACCAATGCAAATGACCACGAGTTTTCGAGAAAAGTTAGAAGAACAGCAAATCTGGGTGTACGTCGTCACGCTCTTCATCGGCGCGATTCTGGGAGTTTATGCCCCCGGCATACAGCAAGTAGATCATTTCATTGATCCCGTGATCGGCATTCTGCTTTACAGCATGTTTTGCCAGATACCCTTTCTGGATTTGAAAAAGTCGTTTCAAAATCGGTCATTCTTTAAAGCACTGCTGCTATCGAACTTCGTGTTGATTCCTGTTTTTGCCTGGATGCTGTCCAGTATCCTTCCGACAGATACGGTTCTGCTGTTGGGTGTCTTTCTGGTGCTTTTAACGCCCTGTATCGACTACGTAATTGTGTTCACTCACCTTGGGAAAGGCAACTCCAGCTTGGTGCTGGCATCCACGCCCATTCTCTTCTTTCTGCAAATGCTGCTGCTACCGCTTTATCTGTGGCTCTTCTTAGGGGGCGAATCGCTTAGCGTGATCGAAGTAGCCCCTTTCGTGAAGGCGTTTGTTTATCTGATCGCCATTCCCTTCACGCTGGCTGTGCTGACGCAGTTGGCAGCGGGACGCTCCGCCGTTGGCAAGCAGGTGCTGAATGGCTCCGGCTACCTGCCCGTGCCGTTTATGGCACTGACCTTGTTTGTGGTGATCGCTTCGCAAATCGGAACGCTGCTGGCCAATCCTGCGCCGATCCTGAACGTGTTGCCGGTGTATGTGCTCTTTGCGATTGGTGCTCCTGTCGTGGGCCGCTTGTCGGCCAGACTATTCGGCCTTGATCGAGCGAGCAGTATCGCCGTGGCTTTTTCATCCGGCACCAGAAATTCGTTGGTGGTTTTACCAATGGCTCTTGCGTTGCCCGCACCCGTGAACACGGTCGCAGCGGTTGTAATTGTGACGCAGACATTAGTGGAGCTGGTAGCTGAACTTATTTACATCAAAGCCATTCCCTTCTTCATCACAAATAAAAATGTTGCGCAAGTGGGTCAGTAA